AACTGAAAATCTTGTCAATGATGCTTGTCCGATCAATCCGTTGTTATTAATAACACCTGGAAAAGACACACGTAGATCCTCAAGAGTAATTCATTGACCATTACGACTTATAGAAGAAGATACATGAAGAACCTTGTTTATATTATAGTATATTCTGTTTATATTATGGCTGCAGAGAATGTTGTGTTTTGATTATTTACTTTGTTTATTTTAGAGTAGAAAAACTTATAAGAATTAAAATATTGTTGTTCTTTATACAAGTGTTGCCCTCTCTTTGATCTGGTCTTTGTAGTAGATAGGGGCACAAATAAAGTAGGCAGTAACTTTATAGAGACAATTATGGTTCAAATGAAGGTCTCTAAATTAATTTAGATAATTAGATACTTAATATCTAATTATCTAAATTATTTTATCATTTTATTATAGGTGATTAGTGATCTGTATGTGGTCTGGTCAGTAGTCACACAACCCCTCTTCCTAATGGGATAGGGGGGTAGGGGTGATGCCATTCTAATGAAGAGGGAGGTTGTATATAACAAATTTACAATAATTATCAAAAATCACTATGATTAAGTTAAAAAGAAAAATTTTCATTGTCATGGTGAAATTTGTGCAAAAGGATTGACATCTCTAATATTTGTCAAATTCTTGGTTATTTAATTCTTGGTTAATTTCTTGTTAAAACCTTGAATGAGAATGACTACAAGATCAAGCAACTGGACAAGTTGGGTGTGCAAAATGGATTTTATGTTGGGTTGCTTTGATGGATGATCCAGAGTTTCTTGGTCCAGCGCAGCAATCATCAGTCTCTTGAAGTCATTTCAAATTGATTTCAGGTCTTCAGACGGATAAAACAAAAGTAGACTTTTTTCAAAATTTTAAATAATATTGTTTCTGATATGATGCCCACCCTAGATATTACTATACACATTTTTTTTTATATCACATTTGGACCACTCTAGTGGTCACATGATCACATCAGTCCTTGCAATAAACCATAACTCAATTTTTAGGCCATTATTGAGCCTTTTTTTAACACAAAATTATGTTGTTTTTTTTGCCAAAAAAAAAGCCTAAAAAGCTCAAAAAATGGGGACCTTCCCCCTGACCAATTTAAAAAAAAAAATTTTTATGGACAGTTTTATGCATAAGAATTAATTTGAAATCCATTTCTTTCTTTTCTTGAGGTTGTGGAGGCTCATCTTCATAGAGTTAATTCATTTCATCAAAAACCTGGCATGATGTACAAGTCCAGGTTTTCAGAGTCTGTACTGAACATCTCCAGACAGCACCATAAATTTGTGAGTTTGGCCATTTCAAGATAACACTGGGCAACAAAAAAATTTTTTTTTGTATCTTTAGCATTTTTATTCACATTAGACTAATTTTGGGCTGAGAAAAAAGAAAATGACAATGAAAATTTTTTATTAGCTCTAATTTCTGAGACATACAATACCAATAAATTTTTATTTCAGTTAACATATAATTTACATATTCTAATAATATTTATAATAAATTTGGTTTTTTCATGAAAAAAATCATGATCATCAAGTTAATAGGTATAAAGATGGTTATGGGGTATCGTCACGAGATTGTGGTCTTTTTTTTTTTTTTTTGTAGACGAGTTCTGGAGGGTCCCTACAGACAAACAAACAGTAATTTGCAAGCATAGCCTCATTATAACAACCCTGATATCTTTGTTCCATTACAGAAAAAAACTTGGTGAAACTTTCCCTCATGTTTATCACTAACAACTCCACAACTGGGGAGGGGGGGGGTTGAAGAATTCTAGGTGTGACTGGAGCAAATGAATCTTGAGGAACATGTTACATCTAAGTTGATAGTGCTTTTGAAGAAGTAATGTTACCAATTAAATGTAGTTATCATCTCTTTTGTTGCCTAAAAATCCACAAATCACTCCCTTAAGAGCTTCCCAAGTTTCCTTTATTTGCCTCTTCAAAACTTCGTTTAATACAATATCCTTCATAAGTTGACGTAATTGTGGCCAAACAAAAATATTCACTTTAACTTTTGCATCACTTATTTTTGAAAATTTATTTCTTAAATATCTAAAAGCCTGTCCTTCCTCGTTCATACCTTAAACAAAATTTTTCATTAAAGCCAACTTAATATATAATGGTGGAAGAATATTTTTTGGATCCACAAGTGGTTCAATAATAACATTTTTTTTTATATGTGTTGAGATTTCTTGCAGACCAGTCTTATTTTATATAATGCAAACTTCTGCCTCTACTGTCCCACATACACAAAAAGCAGCAGTATTTAGTATACCCTAATTGCATGCCTAAAAGTATAACAATGATTTTAGATCAACACAAATTTGTGTTCAATGATTTAAGTAATTAATTGAGTTAAGGAGAACTTTCATGTTTATATAAGTGTCTTTCAGATGAACTGCATGGCCAATAGGAACAGAAGGAAGAAGGTTTTCATTGTGCAATAATACAAGCTTTCAAGCTTAGCTTATACGAGTCTATGAATAATCTCCATTCAGTTGGATCATAGTTCAAATTAAGACAATACATTGATCCAAAGTTACAGTTAAGTTTGAATTAATATTAAAAAAGAAGCTGTATAGATTTTCAGCAACTATTGACTTGTCATATATTATTTTACCATTACTAAGAGATTTTTTTGACTAAATGCTTACTCCATTATTATTTTTTTAATTACACTTCGCATCTTTTTGGCATTTTCATTGGGTTTTTTAACAACTTTGAATAGTAAATTTATTTTTATTGTTTAGTTTTTTCAAATATATTTTTATAAAGTTTGTAATTTTTCAACCATTCTCATAGTATAATCAAACAAAAACTACAGCTTATATTTAGAGCCCATGACTGATCCTGGTCCCCTACTTTCATATTGAAGTAATGCTGGTAAGTAGTTTTCACAAGAGGTGTCAGTTCTTTTCTGTTAGGAAAATGTTAGTTTCACCACAAATGTAATAAAAAATTGTGCACTAAATTTACACACTTCCTTGGCATATTAGTTTGTCAAATTTTACACTAGTAAAAAACTAAGAATAGATTAGACCAGAAACTCTAGCAAACATATAACTAATATCACAAGTTTTAAACATGAATAAAACATAGGGAACATTCTCCTAGGGACACTTTTATGTTAATGAGTATAATTTTTCATCTGTGAATATAATTGAACTTTTGAAAACTGTATAGGAAAATATGGTCCTTTGTGTACTTTTAATGAGAATCTCTGCTTTATAATACAATTTTTTTGTACTTTTTTTTAACCACAAAATGAGGTCTAACTTTTTCCCTAGGTACAACATGGGGTTGTACCTAAGGACATAGGTGGTTGTACCTAGGGACTGCGGTTGTACCTGGGACGATGGGTAATCGAATACTTAAAATGGCTTCTATTGAGCTAATAATTATAAATAAAAAAGGAAACTAAAACAATAATATAGATCGTTAAAAGAACTATTTATTTGTAGTGAAGGTAACAATATTATTTAAAATAGTTAACACTAAATAAAAAATAGTGAGATCAATTTTTCCAGAACAAACAAATATTTAAATTGTAAATAAACATAATTATAGGTCAAAAAGAGTGATACCAATTTTTCTAGAATAAAAAAATACTTTAATTAAGGAGAATCTTCTTACAAGACTGGTTCGTTGGGTTGTCGGTTTGTGGGTTCGACTGGTTCGTGTGTTGTCTTTTTTGTTTTCAATTTGTATTTTTTGGAAACTTTATTTTTCAACGGTTTTTCTTGTTTTTGTTTTTTTCGATTTGTTGTAACAAGTTGTTTTCTTTCTTTTCCTCTCCTCTATTTCCTTAAAAGGAAAACCATGTACCTAGGGACATGTCCCTAGGTACATGTCCATAGGTACAACAGACTGACTTGGTCAGGAAACGGAAGCGATTGCTCTCGATTGCTGACCACGAAAATAATATTTAGTTGGAAAAAGCTGGCCAGAATTTTCAGTCATTTTGAAAACAATTTAAAAAGCAAAAAAATGCGCCAAAGATGAATGAGAGCGATAAAAGACAATTGCAAAAAAAAAAAAAAAAGAAAGAAAATATATTTTAACGCAAAAAAACTTGAAGCAAAATAAATTACATATGAAAAAGAAATTTTTGAAACATCGCTTTTTATAATTTCTTTTATATAAAGTAACATCTTACCATTGTTTAAAAAGGAAACAAATTTCTTTATTTAACAAAGCTTGCAAGTTTTAGTTTTATCTAAGCTAAATTATTTTATAAATAAAAAAGTTAATTTTTTTAATAACTTTTTTATGTTTTGTGTAGTTTAAAAAGTTTAATATATTTAAAACAATTCTTAATAATAAAATAAACAAATGAAATAATTAAATCATTGAATTACTATAGAAATTAACTAGATAAAAATCAACTAAAAATGTTGAAAATACTTTTTGACGAGAAAGCAAAACTGCTTCACAATATTGCTGGTGATGTTTAGAGAGTGGGCTTTTTAATTTTAATTAGTATTTAAAGCAGAAAAAAGTATAATAAGTTTTTAAAAATGGCAACTTAAGCGAAAATAATTAGAGTTAGTAAACCACTATCTAAAAACTTTTCTTTATATCTAATAACTTGCTCATATATTTGCATTCTGTTGTGACCTCAGACACGCTGCTTGTTCATCCGCGAATTACATTGTATGTATTGTTTGTGTTTAGTAATCAGAAACTTCTTATATGTTTGTTACATAATTAGTTTTATTAACTTTAATGATTATTAATAACTTCATTGATAACGTCTTTGGTGAGCTTTAAAAGATTACATTATGATAAAAAACAGATATACAAAACTACATTTACATAAAAATAATATGCTTTTAAAAAAAAAATATAATTTATATAAAAAACTAATAAAATCTATACTTTATAATAAACTTGTTATTCGACACATTTAAAAGCCATTTTTTTGTTGTTAACGTTTTCTTTTACTTATATACAAAGTTGACATTTACAAAAAAAATTGTTCGCTTTATATAGCATATAATACAACTTGTGACTCTTGTCGACAATTAATAAAAAACGTTATAATAATAGAAAATCACAACTTGTGACTTTTGTCAATAATTAGCACGCTAATTATTAATGACACACAACATCCCCCTTAGCTCAACAAGAGCTCATACGTAATCGTTGTACTTCCGATTAGGAAGTACTCTCCTTCCATAGCGAGTGAATTGAACAGGCTGTGACTCTGTCTCACCATCTGTTGAATAGTTTTGATCGCTGCCCGTACTATTGTCATTTTTACCATTATCCGGAGGAATTATTTGAAGATTTGAATCATCATTGACAATGTGTTTTGAGCTCGTTTCGGGAAGTTTAAATAGTGTTGAATTAAAATCATCTGTTGTATCTTCTTCTTTTGTGTCTACACGACGATGTTGCAGATGAGAAAAATGTTGTGGTAACGTATGTCCGTTGACATCAACTTCAGCTGTTAAACCATTATGCAATGCCACTATACTTCCTTTCAGCCATCGTTGCGTACACGGCGTTATGTGCTTGGGTTTCACCCACACTTTGTCGCCAACTTTCCATTCACGACACTCTGTCATCGACTTTTGTGTTGATTCGATTTTAACGATTCCAGGAATTCGAACTCGTTTGTGATGTTGGCAAAATATTTCAAAAGGTCTGCCGTGTTTTGATGGAACGTTATTGATTAAAAATACAGACATGGAAATACCACATTTTACTCTTGCATTTGTTCTTTTTACCGTCCGATGAACTTTTTCAACTATTCCATTTTCCGATGGTTTTTCAACAGCTCGATAGATGAGCCTTATTTCCCATTTCGCAGCCATAGTTTGCATAAGCTGAGATCTTAATGACTTAGAGTTATCTAGAAGAACTTCAGAAGAAGGTCCAAGTGTTGACCATATTGTTTCTAACGCTTGAACAACCATAGTTGCACTTTCGTCGCTTAATGGTGTCCATAACGTATATCTGCTTGGGCCGCAATCAATACAAGTGAGATATAGCAATGAATCAACATGAGTAACATTGCAGGCTACTCTTTCCCATACTTTGCTAACAGCAAGATTTCCTTTATCCCACAACATCACATTAGGGTCAATCGAGTTACATTCATCGCACTCTGCGACAACCTGTTTCACTGTGTCTCTGGTAACGTGGATACCAGCGCGCATACATAACTCCATACTCTTGGAAACTCCCATGTGTGCTAGTAAATGAATTTTTCGAATCTGCTGTTTATCGTACTTATAAATGGTATTACATTCTTGTGCTGCAACTTTGTTTTTTATCCATTTTGTTGGCACTCTTGTGAGTTCATCTGCAATATTTTTAGTTGTTGGTACCCATGTAACAGTTACATTTATGACATAATCCTCGAATCAGTTTTAATGGAGACATCCCTTGGATTCCATTTCAATGCCATATTTAGACCTTCAATACATGCATCTAATTCGGCCACATTGATATGCATTGCATCAGACTTTGGTCGGAGCCATGTCGCATCTTCTATCTTTCTGTCACCTGGCGTTATCACAACTCCTTTTGCCAGCAAACTTGCATCGCACCATACAGTCAGAGATGCATTTGGTTTAACATTCCATACACCTTTTGCCAGATCGCACTTTACGACTTTATCTACAACTTCCTGCATCATTTCGATAACATACTTATTCGTAATAGGTTCATCCCAACCTGCTTCGTTTGTACATCTTTTTATATAGCTGCATGCCGGTCTCAACCATCCAGCAACTGGTAGATTAGCAATCAGATTACCACATAATGAGAATATATCCCTCTTTGTGAGCACAGATTTAATAATAGGAAGCTCGCGTCCTCTCTTCCACAACATCTCCTTTGTTAATGGATTTACTGTGACTTCTAATCCTAGTACACGAATGCACCTGGATATTTTCGCCAAAATATCCAGGTGCTTTTGCATGAAGACCCCATTTCTTCATATGTATCACCAGCTTTCTTCCATTGGTTGCTAGGGTGTCATCAATGTATCCTCTTGTTGTTTTTGCCAGTGCAGAATCTTGTTGGAGAACATACCGCAATATTGAGCTTATCATCACTGGTGCCAAACTTAGACCAAAGCCCAAACGTGTAAGTGCATATCGCTGATTTTTATAGATAACCGTCTGGTAAGGCCAATGCCTTTTATGCACATGAATTTGTAAATATGCTCTTCTTAGACCCACTACCGAGTCATTGCTGTTTTTACTCATGAATCTCCACTCCCTCATTACATCATTGATGACATCAGCATCCCTTGTAGAGGCTTTTACATACATGTTAAGCTCACGATAATCAAGCACAGGTCTTATCTTTTTTTTATTATCTTGAATGACACACATTAATGGTAGTAGACCTTTAGGTTTTCCCATAATTTGATCGTCATATTTGATGAGTATACCTTCTTTGATCCATTCATATATTTGATCCATTCATATATTGTTAAACGCCTCACAACGTTGGTCAGCTACATTATACTGACTTGTTCTATTTTTCATTTTAGGTTCGTTTTCCCACTCCCAACTTACAATCCATTTTTTGCCATCAAAATAAGCTTTGCTTGTTCCAATTTCAATTGTCGCAACACGAAGTTTCGATGACAACTCAATCAAAGAATTACACAATTTCAGTTTTCCAGTGCCAATTTGTAGTCCATCACACATCTTTATTAAGTCCATACCCATAATCATGTCATATTTGTTTATTACTTCATTCACACTCAGAACCACCACATCCACCAAGCACCCGTTCGTTGGGTGGCATATTTTAGCACTAACTTCTTTGCATCGAATTATTCCGCCCATTGATGCAACATTTACTACAGGAATCACATTTTAGTCAGTCTTGTAGAGATACCTAATGCGATATCGTCCCATTTAAGTTTTCCCGGTTTCATTGACGTTTGTAGCAGTGTTTTGCAGCATGTTTATGCAAGCATTTTTTGCATAAAGAGGTACATTCACGTGCAAAGTGATTTAAGGATGCACAGTTGTAACCTCGAATCTTTCTATCTTCGTGACATCGTAACATTGAATCTTTCTATCTTATCTTTCTTTCTTCGTGTATAACTTGTCGTTCCAGTCGTCCGGTGAATCGCATTTACTTCTTCATTTACAGATAGACATGCACATCTAATCTTGTTTGTGCAACCACGAATGCAGTCTTGACACAATCGTCAAAGCTCAATGCATCGTCTCCCCGAAGAATGGCACGCAGAATGGCACCATCATTAATGCCAATTATGAATTGGTCACTAAGTCGACCGTCTCTCTCTGAGGGCAAGAACTTGCAGTCTTGAGCTGCTCGAATCACTTGATGCGCGAACGTCTGTATAGATTCTTTAGTACCTCTGTAAATTTTTCCAAACTCATACCGTGAGATTAACGATGAATTTCTTATTTCCAACGTTTCTAATTTCGTTACCAATTCTTCGTACGAAACATCCTCTGGAACTTCCGGTGCTGTTAATTCTTCCATGGTCTTGTAAGTCTTTAACGGCAGAGTGGCAAGCAAAAACGCTAATTGTTGATCTGAAGTTATATTGTTTATTGCCAAGAAGGAAGTCATCTGCCGAATAAATCGCTTTGGCTGTCTATCTTCGTATTGCGGAGATAATAGACATGCCCAGTTAGCTTGTTGTTCGACACATTTAAAAGCCATTTTTTTTGTTGTTAACGTTTTCTTTTACTTATATACAAAGTTGACATTTGCAAAAAAAATTGTTCGCTTTATATAGCATATAATACAACTTGTGACTCTTGTCGACAATTAATAAAAAACGTTATAATAATAGAAAATCACAACTTGTGACTTTTGTAAATAATAAGCACCCTAATTATTAATGACACACAACAAAACTTTCAAAATTTTGACTGTTTAAATAATATATATTTTTAGAACTCAGAATCACGAACCTTAACAAACAAGGCTGCTGCACGGAGAAACCAATGGATTGTACTACTGTAAATTAGTTAAAAACATGATGAGGTTAAAACGTATTGAATATGAAAAAAAATCAGTGAAACATCAAGAAGAAATCCCAAGTTATTTTATAGTTATGTAAATTCTAACAAAAAAGTTAAAGGAGGAATGACTAATGAATAAAATAACATTGTAACAAATAGAGAATCTATAGCAAATATTTTAAACAATAGTTTCAATTAATTTTGTGTTAACGAAGATAAACATAACATGCCAAATATACCGCAGAAGACTGAAATTATTCTAGAAGTAGATATAAATAATAAAATAACTTGCCATACTATTGAAAAAAAAATTAAAAAAATTAGATGTTTACAAAGCTATCGGAGTAGATGGGATAAGCCCATATGTTTTAAATAAATGTCATAGTACTCTCTGTGAACCATTACATTTAATATATATAAAATCGTTGACTGAGAAAAAATTACCTGAGCTCTGGAAATTAGCAAATATAACACCAATTTTTAAAAAAGGTAATACGAACATTGCATTTAATTACGGCCAATCTCATTGACTTCTATCCCATGTAAAGTTTTGGAATCACTCATTAGAGATGAAATTATGGATTATCTAATAAATAACAGCTTATTAAATGAAAATCAGCATGAGTTCAGAAAAAATAAAAGCTGCAAAACAAACCTATTGGAAACTCTTGATATCATAACAGATGCACTAGAAAATGGCCACTCAGTTGATATGTTGTATCTAGACTTTGAAAAGGCTTTTGATAAAGTAACTTCAATCATATGGTATTGTGAGAAATTATCTGGGATGGATAGAGAACTTTTTAACTAACAGAAAACAGAGAGTGGTCCTTGGGGACACTGTCTCAGATTGGCTACCAGTTATAGTGGTGTACCACAGGGTCAGTTTTAGGACCACTGCTGTTTTTAATTTTTATTAAGGATTTGCCATATCAAGTCAAAAACCCTATTAAACTTTACACTGATGATAGTAAAATAATAAATATTATAAAAAATCTTAATGATTCAATAAGCCTTCAGAATGATATAAATAATATAATGGCATGGTCATCTATTTGGCTCACAAAATTTAATTATGAAAAATGCAAAGTTATGCATATTGGGAAAAAAAATTTAAATGCTACATTTATAAGGACTGATATTGATTGCAATTACAATTATACATTGTGTAACACAAAAGCTGAATGTGATTTGGGTATAATGGTTCAATCCGATTTAAAATGGCACTCACAAGTTGATTCAGCAACCAGCAAAGCAAACAGAATGTTAGGTACCATAAAGAGAAGCTTTAAATATTTAGATGTAAACATGATAAAAATGCTCTATACAACGTTCATACATCCACATCTTGAGTTTGCGGTCTAGGCATGGTCTCCATTTTTAAAACAAGACATTGACAAGATTGAGAAAATCCAAAAAAGAGCAAACAAACTAGCACCTACAATTAGGAAATTATCATATGAGGCTAGGTTGAATATTATGCAATTAACGTCACTGGAAGAACGTAGACTACGTGGAAATCTGATTTAACAATATAAAATTCAGCATGGGCACAATAAAGTAAATTGGGTTGCTAACGATTGTGGAAATGCATTGGAGGAGGGTCCATGTCTGCGACAACACAAATTCAAAATGAGGAAGCCTTTTAGCAGATATACCTTCAGGTATCATTTTTTCTAAAATCGAGTTGTAAATGCGTTGAACAGCTTACCATCTGAAATAATAGAAGCTACTTCAATAAATAACTTCAAAAACAAACTAGACAGAGCTGGATTTTGTAGAAACTATTTGTTAAAACACAAACAAAAGACAAAATGAGCTGTTACAGTGCAATATCTTATGTTATCGCACTTCGCAACTGTTTAAAACAGTTGTTACAGTTATACCTTATTATTATTATATTTAAAACATTTATTTTTGTAAACAAATAATAATAATTTATAAGATTTATGGCTTTGCAGATGTGGCTCCGAAAATGAGCCATTGTATTGATAATAAATTCTTAAAACAATTTATGCTAGAAATCTCAAAACGTTACTAATCGTGAATACAATTTCTAAAACATTTCAACAGAATACTCTCGAATTTTATTTTGCTTAGTCAGCGCATTTTTTGAACTAATAGAATTAGTTTGTTCGTTAATTTGGCGGGTTTTTAGTGTTCTCAAGTATTCTTTTTGTTCTTCCATACCAAGAAGTTTTAAGAACATTCAAGTTTTTTATGTTTCCATGTATGTTCATAAAACAAAAATTTTTTGTAGCGTACATGAACTTAAATGTTCTAAATGTTTTAAATTGCGTACATGAACTTAATCATAATCATTGTGTATGGTGCAAGAAGCTATACAAATTAAACATGATATCATTATCCTAAGCTGTAATTTACTGGATAATGTACTTTTAATTATTTTACAGCTGTTTAAACTGACATTAAAATAATTTATAATATAAAGTTCTTCAACATTCCCAATTTTATAGTGTTTTCAGAGAGCTCCAAAGCTTTCTTGAATTGATCCTGCAATCAGATGTCAGTGATATCCTCAGTTTTCATTCTGTTAAATACAATTGAATCATGATTCAAAGAGTTCCACACAAGCTTTAGCTTTTTAAACAAAGAATTGTCTGGTCCATTTGTGTTACTAATTTGTTAGATGTTCCAGCAGTGAATAATATGTCTTTCACATGATATCTGCATTCTTATAGGAGTAAAAGCTCATCAACCTCTGCAGCTAGTTTAATGCATACTTCTTTCTGTTTTCCAGTTTTAGAACAAGTAGTATCAAAAATATATCTGTGAAACTTGTTAGCTTTCTCAAATTGGTTAAGAAGTTTCATGATTGCTCATTTCCTGTACTTAAAGTGAGAGGTAGCTCTGTCTGTCCATTTATTTGAATTAATACAGCAAGTCTGTGATATTGCAATTAATTTCCATCTGTGAATTCTTTAACCATCTTGCTATCAAAGTGTAGAATTATAGGGAATACTGATGATTGCACAAGAGTATAAATTTGTTCTCTAACCTTTGCTCCTTCTGTAAACAAAACCTCTTCTATAGCTCTAAATGATGTTGCACTAGACATTACAAAAACTGATACATAACCTCCAGAGTTTGCAATGACACAAGACACAATTGCAGTGTGATGTCGAGCATACAGTCTCTCTCCTATAGCGATAAGAGCTGTTTTCTTTAAAATATATCTTTTGGAAGGAAAACTGATGTGCTAGATTCTTTTTGTCTAGGTCTGCTACAAAGCCTGAGTCAGAAATATCATCATGACTGCTTGCAGAGCTGTGTGAAATGTTTGCAGTGTCTCCTACCCTATCCCTGGTAGGCAAATGTTTCTTCTGTGATCTTTCAACAGCATATGAGAACCTTTGATAATTTGTTCCAATTATTCCACTTCATTCTCACAGCTGATCTAAGATGAATGTAAAATCTTCCTCTTTGGTTACAGAAGTCTTCTTCTTATCATTCTTGATCTTTTCCATCAGTTCTTTAGGATTTCTGCTAATCCAAAAGCACGTCAGAAGGCCCTGGAGAAAATCTTTTCTCAACTTACTATTTGATGGACCATTTCTGTGACAATTCTTCTATAACATGTTATAATAATCCACTGTGCTTTGAATCTTCACCCTATAATGTATAGGGTCTTTATATACAGAGTCTTTTATACTATCTGAAATTCAATATCTTCTAGTATCATGTTGAAATACAGTTATCTGAATGACTATTTCAGTATTCTGAATGTTATTAGAATAAACTGAAAAAAGCATTCAGTTAGCAAAAAAATTATTTATAAGATAGTGTAGGCTGACAAACTTAATATGACGAATAACTTAATCATTTGGTGTAATCTTTTGAGAAGGTTTTAATAAAGTTTTTATTTTATCTTAAGTTCCTTAAAATGTTTTGGGTTAACCCAGATGGCAGCCATTTTAAAAACTGGCTTCAAAATGTTATATGACATTGTCTTCTGTTTATTAAACTTCCTTGGTTATGTTAATCTATTGTAATCAAACATTTTTATATTAGCAAAACGATTTTTAAAATGTGACGATTTACTTTTATTTTATTTGACAACTTACACAAGCAAGTAAATATCTTATGGTTATATTTTAAAAGATTTGGTTTTTCTGAATACATAAATATTAAATGCTTCTTAATGAATAATACTAGCTTGAATAATTAACCAACATAATAATAATAAAAAAAAACTCAATAAATAATTAACCTTAAAACAATAAAAGCAATTTTAAACTTATTTAAGATACAAAAAAAAAAAAAAAATTAGACAATAGTGAATTACAAACTAACAACTTTTTATTTGGCTAAAACAAAAAGAAAGATACATTACCAAGTCTTAAAAATAGACTATTATACTAGTGATCAAAAATGTTTCTAGTTTAATTAAAATAAAATTACTATTTGAATTTATCATTTTCTATAATATCTATGTACTTAAAATAATCTTTATTATCCATTTTTAAAATAATCTTTATCATCCATTTTTAAAATAATCTTATAGTCAAACTTTTATAGGAAACTTTTATAGTTACTTTTATACCCCCAGATGAAGCAAAATATATCTACATAAAGAAATACAAAATAAATGAAAAATCTACAAAAAAAAAACTATTTATGTCTCAATATCCTCTAATCATAATCCTCTCAATACTTTATTATTAACTCAAAGACATAATTAAATTATCAATTCAAGAAAAAAAAATTGATCGCTAACAGTTAATCAAGTCAAACAAAATTTTAATAACTGGAAAATAGTAAATTTAAAATTTGAACTTTTATTAAAAATAGTAAATTAACAAAATTAAAAGTAGAATAAAAATACCTTTTAAATTAATCCACACAGAAAAACAGTAGAACCATCTTAATAATAGTAATATAAATGGTAATATCATCAAAGCTCTGACTACAGAAAATAAAAAAAAGGTGTACTTATTGACAAGTAAACCATATTTTCCAATGCTAAGAACACCACTCAGTAAAAGCAAACTTTGCAAAAAAATATCAAAATAATTGGAAGCTGGATTTTTATAAGGAAAGCAAAGTGTAAAAACAAACAGAAGTGTTAAAGATGATATTGTTACAGAAACCATTTGAATAAGTTTATCATCAATCAAAATTCCAAAAGCAATAATTACAACTCTTGAAAAGAAATATAAGGAAGCAAACCATTGAAAACGGTCATGAAACGGTGCATTAAATGCTGAAAAAATTGGATACAAACGACCAAAATATTGAAAGACCTTCAATTTAGTCCACCACACTGTTGTTATAAGTAGCAATGGCCATAGAAGAACAATAAACAAAACAAAAAAGATTGCAATTATTGAATAAATTAGATGACGTTGTGAAAAAAAAATCAAATCCCCGTAGATATAAACATGATTTTTTACACCATCGTATTCCACTGGGTAAAGAATAGTGAGTGTTATCCTTGTAATATCTGCATATGCAAGCACAGAAATCAAAACATAAACTCTAATAATATTGTTTTCACATTTTAAATTAACTTCTTCATTGGATTTGACTTTTAAAAGGTAGATCACTTTGTTGTTTAGAGTTTGTAAAGCATTGTGCAACTTGTTCCACTTTGCAATAACAGTAACACTAACTAACATTGTCAAGGGTATTAAATAATTAAATGCAACTTTGTCTAAATCATTCCATTCATTTATAAGACAAAGACTAATTTTATGCGGGCCAATATGAACTCCATGAAAATTTATAATGTTTTGAAGAAAAGTATTAACAAATGTGTCTTCTCGATTCTGTGTAGCTGTAACATGGTACTGAATAACTTGGTAAAAGTAAATACAAGAGTTTAGCCATGAATCATAAATACATATATTTAAAAAAGCTACTGCAAAACAAACTAAAGCGAATATAAAAAGAATTCCTGGTAAAATAAAAAGTAAATTCAACAAGCTGCATTTTTTAATACAATCTTCCCCTCCAAACTCAACAGTTTTATTTTCTTGGCATTTAGAACATAAATAACCTAACCTCCCTTTTACACATTGGTTATCTGGGTTGAACGAGCATGTTAAATTTGGGCAAGGAGTACAATATCCATAAGGGCAAATATGTGTGGTTTCATTATCATTTTGTATTGCCTTTTGAGTATAATTAACATACAAACCAGCTAATAAAGATATTGTTCCATCTGTATTGCATACTATTCCTTTACGAAGGTTTTTTTCACTGTTACATATGCAACTATCTGCTTCCTTGGCATAACCTAAAGGACAAAACGTTAGCTTAAATTCAATAATAGTTTGATAAACATTCTTTAAGGAGAAAATGATTGAATAATTTTGCTCTTTTGATCCAAAAACTTGCATAGTAATTTTATTTTCTTTAACCACAAACCTTTGTAATAAGCCATTAAGATAAACATCTATTGAACTTGATAAACTTTGATTGAGCTCATCAACTAAAAAAACAGTTGGATAAATTAGTTTTCCAGAATAAATACTTGTTAAATTATCTATATATGCGTATAAGTTGACTGGATCTGTAAAAAATTTATTAGTTCCAAAATAACTCCAAAATTTAAAATGGCAGCATCGAAGAGTAGAAACAAATATATCATTTATTACATAACTTGCTGTGTTGTTGCTGTATTCTAACTTTCCACTATTTTTGTTTGAAAGAAAACAGTTTTCATTTTCATCAAGTTTATAGACAACATTAAAAGAACAAGATAAACTTTGTTCAGCATATATAGCACCACCCTGTAAAGCAGAGTTTTTTATAAAAAACATAGAGCTTTCATTGGAACTCATTATAACTTTAGAGTTTATATACAATCTTAAAGCTCCACCTTTATTTCCTTTATTTCCTTCAAAATAAATTTGTCCTGATACAAATGCAACTGCATTTTCAAGGATAATTGCTGTATTTAAATTATTATCGAAAAAATTTTCACCATAAAATTGAATTTTGCTATAATGTGTGTAAATAGCACCTAGTCCTATAGTTTGCTTAAAATGCCAACGATTGTAAGAGAATTGTGATTGTTTCAAAACTAAAGAAACTCGAAATAAATAAATAGCAGAACCAAGTTGAGCAGAGTTATACGTAAAATTGCAATTTTGAAATGTTACAATTTTTTCTATAATATTTTTATTACTAAGTCTTAAGGCACCACCGAATGTACCATTATTGTGAAAAAAAGATGATTCTTTGATTGTTATGCTACTGTTTAATCCTTGAAAAATATATAAACCTCCACCCCACAGACCCTTATTATACCAAAATTTACATTTAGTTATTGATAAAATATTTTTGCCTAAAACTTCAGTAAAGAAAACACTTAACCCGCCACCACGACCAAAGGGAACATCAAATTCATTAGCTAAATTTTTTATTTTACTTGTACTGTTTATTATACCAGAGTTCCATTGGAAAACACAGTTTTCTATATTTATATTTGCTATTTCATTTATTTTATCTTCTGAGTACAAAATTAGTAAACCTCCCCCTGAGCGATGTTCTAAAGACTCATTTAATGGTAAAATAATTGTATTGTTTTGAAAATTAACTGTTTCAAAATCAATTTTCCCCCTGCAATTCTGTAAAATAACAGAATAACCAATGCTATAAGTAAATTGAACATTTCTGAAAGTGACATTGATAAGATCAGAGAAAAAAAGTGCAGATGACAATGTAATAGCATTCCTTCTAAAAGTTTGCTTACTTACTGAACCACAGTGGGTTATATGGAGATTCATGAACAACAATCTTGTAACATTGTATATCAAAATCCCAGCATTTAAATTTGATGCACAATTAATTACTATTTCTGAATTTACACCGATTACGCTCAAATTGCTAACATCTTTTATAACGATTACATTACTCAATGTTTGATTATCTTCTATGATAATACATAAGTTAGTTAGATTTAGAACAGATAAAGCAGCCGAAATTGTTGAACAATGTATTTGTTGATTCTTTTCTGTGCAGTTATTAGAATATGTAAAATTTACAACAACTTCTGTTTGATTATCTTCACACAAACGATATTCCTTTGCAGAAATAAATTTAAGAATGGCATAAACTATGATTAAAATAAACATTTTATCTTTCTGAATTGTAGTAAATTATAAGATCTGCCTGGCTATAACGTTATGTGGTAGATTATTACCTCCCCCATTGAAAACTCAAAACGAGGTTGCGCTTTCATGTTATAGCTGTTAGAGGTGTACCTGAAACGTCCGTATCGCCTTGAACATAAACATAAAGGTTAGTGCTAGATATTGTCGTTCAAAAGTACAATTCCGATTTTACTAAAATCGCAGACCTGGAAAAATGTTTACGCATACGTAATTTGTAATAGAATATCGTATCCGCCTAGAATATCATATCCCCCATAAGAAGATTAAAAACGCAGACGCGATTTAAAGTTATAGCATTTAGAAGTGCACCTACGCCGTCCAAAATAAATTTCGGACATAAACAAAGTATATATGGTTAAAGTAAAATCAAATATATATATATAAATATATTTTAAGTATAATATTGATACTATATTATTTTTATACTATAAAATATATATAAATATATTTTAAGTATAAAATTGATACTATATTGCATATTTTACTTAGTTTTATGTCGAAAACGATTCCTATACAGGGGGGATATGATATTCTAAGTATAAAATTGATACTATATTGCATATTTTACTTAGTTTTATAACGAAAACGATTCTTATACAGGGGGGATATGATATTCTAAGTATAAAATTGATACTATATTGCATATTTTACTTAGTTTATATCGAAAACGATTCTTATACAGAGGGGATATGATATTCTAAGTATAAAATTGATACTATATTGCATATTTTACTTAGTTTTATAACGAAAACGATTCTTATACAGGGGGGATATGATATTCTAAGTATAAAATTGATACTATATTGCATATTTTACTTAGTTTATATCGAAAACGATTCTTATACAGAGGGGATATGATATTCTAAGTATAAAATTGATACTATATTGCATATTTTACTTAGTTTATATCGAAAACGATTCTTATACAGAGGGGATATGATATTCTAAGTATAAAATTGATACTATATCGCATATTTTACTTAGTTTTATGTCGAAAACGATTCTTATACAGGGGGGATATGATATTCTAAGTATAAAATTGATACTATATGGCATATTTTACTTAATTTTCGAAAACGATTCTTATACAGGGGGGATATGATATTATAATAAGTTTTATGTCGAAAACGATTCACTGTTATATTGTTTTTAAACTAGATAAAATAGTTTTTAAAACAAAAATTACTGCTGGCTACGATTACTGCTATATATGAATCTAATTTTAATTTACTACTTTGGGAATTTTATATCATTTACTAAGTTTATTGTATTGGTAACTTTTTTATTACTAAAAAAAGAATTTTGTTATAAAAAAAAAGTGTAAAATGCATAACATCCCAACTATTACAATACATTGGAGGGCTTTCATTGGAAATGTTTTTTTTTTTTTAACATTTTCATTTCCAACAAGACTGGAAGTACCTACTGTTAGAGAAAAGATGAAATTCATAGAGCAAAATAACAACTAACAGAAAAATTAATAGATTGTGTATTATATGAATAAAAAAAAAAGCTGAAGCAAGTGAAAAAAAAGTTTCACGAAAAAACAGATAAGAATTTTTTGGGCACTTAGGAACAGTCATAGTAAAAGGATTAGCCTTTATTGAATGATGAGTAACACAAAAGTGAATTTTAGTAGATGACACAAGAGACGCTAACTCTTTAGAGCAGTGTCCATAATAGTATTTATAAAAAATAAAAAGAGAAGCTAAATTATGATAATGTTCTAATGGTTGGAGGTTGGCTACAAGAGCAGGTCAAGGTGCAAAAACAATTCCTTTTTGCACCTTGTCTAAAAGAGAAAAGGCCATTACTGGAAGATCTGATTAAGATATGGCAAAAGTGTTCCATGCAGGGATGGATTTAAGATTTATAGAGATAAGATATTTATAAATATTTATAGAGATGTTTGAATTGATGTATACTTTTAAATTTAATATTGTATCATTGTATAATACGTCATACATGTAATTAACATGCTTATACAAATTCCTGTATGACATTCAGTTTATAAAATTGTTGCGTTTAGGATTTTTGTAATTTAGTTTTAGAAGAGAAGAGAAAAATCGTGCATGCTTAAAATTATGTTATTATACAATCATAAGTTGTAAATATATTCAAAGACTGAAATTTGGCACAATTGTTTTAAGCAAAAGGTCTTTGCACACCACCAATTAAGTATTTATATTTCAAGAAATGTTTATTGATAAAAGCTTGCCTTAATTTACATAAATAGTAATATTTAAGATATTATCTACTAAATTCGCATCTTTTTAATTTTATGAATAATTTTTATTTAAACATTAAAACAATCTTTTGCTTGAAATTTAATGCATATATTTCATAAAGCAAATAAAAATTAAATAATATATACATAAACTCTAAACTATATACAATAAGTTTTTTTTATTTATTTAATCTAATAAACTCTAACTGTAACTATAACTCTCAGCTAGAATATCAAATAAATAATTCTAAACTATAACTTATAATTATAAAAAATTTAACTAATTATAAAAATATAAACAGTTTAAAAAAAATAAAATCCAAACGCTAAATAATCTATAATATTACATTGAAATAATAACAAAATCAGAAAAAATTTCAATAATAACATTGTTTTTGTTGTTGTTGAACTTATCGCATTACTCGATTTCCCGGTTTTCGCTTTCAAACTTTTCGCTTTAACGTTCTTTCGCTTAAAACTTTTCGCTCTTACGTTCTTTCGCTTTTAAACTTTTCGCTTTTACGTCCCATTACCAAAATTGATACTATATCGCATATTTTACTAAGTTTTATGTCGAAAACGATTCTTATACAGGGGGGGATTTGATATTCTAAGTATAAAATGTTTTTAATGTTCTTTGTTAATATGCCTGGGTTTTAAAAATCAACAAACAAAAACAACGTTGTTTTTCAAAAGTTCATTTTTTCAAAATCAATGTTTTTAATTGTTTTGCAATCAACTCTGATCATGGCAGACATATCTAAAATTATAACATCAATCTAAATAAGTTGTTTATATTATGACGTTTTATTTATTTTAAAATGAAAACAAAAAAATTAAGTACAAAAGTCAACAAAGTAGCGCTAAAATTGAAATGATTATGTTAACAGCTTACATTAGAAAGAGAAACGTTTGAGCAAGTAAATAAATCACTTGTTTCTTTTGCATAACCAATGCATTCCATATGAAACCATCTATTTGGAATGCAGTTAGCACATTTTATCTATAAAACAGTAGTGGTTTTTCAGGTAATGCACCTTCTTTTAGTTGATTAAAAATAAACGTTTAACTTTAAAACGTAATAATAAAAAACGTAAGCAAATCTAGTTAATATACCCATTTATCTGACTTTTTAATTTGTTGTGTATTGGTCCTTTTTCATTCCCACAGATTCGACAAAGTTTATCTTGCCATCTTCTCTGACCTATTAATTTAAACATTTACCACAGTTTATTATTTTTTTTAAAGATTCCTTTTTGTCAACATCAAAACTACTGTTAACAGACCTCCTCTTTCCATAAGTAAATGCACCACTTTCTTTCTAAACTCTATAACATCTTCTAGTGGAAAGTTAAGCGCCAACTCTGATTCATTTATATAATTTTCAGCAAACTAAAAATAATTATTACAACCTCTTGATATAATTCAATGATACAATTAAAACTAAAAAGAAATAATTTTTGATTTCTATTATTTCGTTTTAAGTAAATATATGAATGTTATGACTTCATATGGTTTCACCACAATATGCATGCAGTAATAAGATCATGCAGGTTTACTTAAAGGTTATATTACTTTTATGATTAGATTATATTTAAATCTTTTCCTTATGCTTTTGGTTTAAAATTTTTGAGACTTTGATACACAGTAAATACTTTTATATTTTGTCCACATTTTGTGATGCGCTTCTAATTTTTCCAAACAATTTTTTTGTTCAAATTTATCACAACTACATGTTTTAATAAAATTACCTTCAGACAAAAGACTCCACATGATATATTGTCAGTTTGTAACGCATGTGGTAATGTCACTAACTCGAATTTCTCTATAACACTGTATCTTTGCATTAAGTAACTACTAAGATATGAACAAAAAAATTAATTAATTCTTTTTTAATATCTGATTAATTTTGAATTTCAAATTTCAAAATTTAAAGTCATTGATATAATAACATACTTCCACTTTTTTTCTTCTTTTAATATAGAAGCTTTGGTTTCACCAAGAGGGTTAATATATAGGATTATTTTCTCACGTGGTTTGATAATCTCAAGAAATAAAGTCTCCAAATTAATTATAGAAATTACACTACAATAATAAGTTCAGTATTTTCTGACTAAACTACTGAAAATAATAAATATGTGTGATTTAAAACTGGTTGGTTAACATTGGAAAACAAAACCTTAGTCGCACATTGAAAATATTTCTATATAAAAGAAATGGCACATTAAAAAAAATATATTGTAATAATTTTACTGTAAGTGTCCAATGAAAATTCAAAACAACACAGCATATTAAAATATGCTTAAAGAGCTCATTCTGAAATAAAATAAAAATTTTATAAGCATTACTATATATATATATATATATATATATATATATATATATATATATATATATATATATATATATATATATATATATATATGTATATTTATAACTGTTTTATCCAACAGTACAAAACAATAAATTACCACATGTTTCCTTCTTATCAAGTCAGTTGGATGTGGCAACTCTTCTAATGAAAGTAACCCAGCTGGCGCCAATACTTCGATTCGATACTTATTATATATTCAAATGTATATATATATATATATATATATATATATATATATATATATATATATATATATATATATATATATATATATATATATATATATATATATATATATATATATATAGTTTAAACAGCATAGTAGTAAATATTTAAACAGGTAATATAAGATACTTCAACGCTAGAATATTTTTATTAACTATTTTTTCTAAAAAAAATCTTACCTTTTTCTGATCGCTTGCCTAAAGTCTAAGATAAACGTAAACAACTTCATCGCTTAGACAGCCATTTAAAGCATCATGTAGCGAGTAATCGTATATCTTACAACCACCCAAACTGGAATAGATACCCATTACAGCTTTAATAGGTTTAATCTGACAAAGATATTCCATCAGTATATCACCTATTTTGAATTGCAATAGTGCTACATCTTATGATTACAATTAAATACTATAGACTATTAACATATACTAAAAAAACACCATAAAACTTTCAAAAAGATTAAAACTAAACATTTTATTATTAGTTATATTTTATAAGTAGTTATATTTTTATATTTAATTGGTGTGCCATTACATGCTAATTAATTGATTGGTGTGCCATTAAATGCTACGTACCTTTAAAATCTTCGATCAGACAACTTATTTTTGTATCTGTTACCACTATAAATATACATGAAGCATATATACATATTATAGACATATTTGATTTTAGCAATTAAAATAGCAATAAGATAATTATTATAATGATAATTATTTTATCGAAAAGAATTAATGTGACCAGAAAGAAGTAGGGTTGAGGAAGAAGTTTCTTTTAATCTGTATTTTGATGATTACTGGTGCATGTCATAAACCCATTTATACATCTTGCTGGCCTCTGATTGTAAAAAAAGTCTTTTATATCATATTTTATGACAGAACAATATATACCTTCAATGTTTTCAACATTGCTGCAATGTTCTGTAACAGTATTCTCTAAAACATTATCTAGAAATTAAATTATTGACTTTATTTTACATTTTCTAATATATTGGAAAACTATTATTTTAAAAAATTCCGTTTTAGTCAAACTCTCAGGGGTAACAGATAAATAGTACAACCTATGTTTATAAAGACGATATGTATCATACTGTTGGACCGTCACGTCAGGGTATCCTTACGTCAAGTCACGTTATCCTGCTACTGGTAACATGTAGTCCAGTACAACCTGATCATGTTAATGTCAGGAAGGACATCTGGTTGTAAAATATTGCTTCAACTCTCTCATAATTGCATTAATGTCATTATGAAAACCAGCCAAACTAAACATAAAATTACATCTAAAAATTACATTTAAAAAATTATAAACCGCACAGCATTTTTCAAAATAACTATAAATTATTATAAATTTATATAAAATAGAAAAAAAAATTTTTTTTTTCAATTTAAAATTAGTTAGCATGCATAAATTATATAGCATTAATAAAAGAAATTATTATTACTAATTGTTTCTTTCAACAATTAAATTAAATATTAAATACCTTTCTCCAAACTTTCAATGAACTTTTTAATATGCAATTTATGGTAAGTGCTTTTTAAAGGAATGTTATTCAAATCATTGAGTTTAAAATTCCCACATTTTGTAATATGGGCTACATAATAAGGTCCTTTAAATCTTGGCTTGAATGCAGCCCCTTTGCTTCTTCTTCCTCTTATGTCCAGAAGTAAAACCTTATCTCCTACCATAATTGGGTCAGCAGATACTTTACAATTTTTTTGGACTCTAGCATCATAATATTTTTTTTGTTTTACTTGAGCATCTTTGATGTTCTAAAATCAATTGAGTGTTGATACACAACAATAATTTTCTAAAGATAATGTGTACAACTTTTGGTCAGTCATTATCTCAACTAAGTAACTCAAGTTACACTTACCTTAGAAATTAGATTTGTTAAATTTTCAACGTGGTTCCTATTTTTTTCAACTTCAACTATAACTTCTTCCTTTAGTTAAAATATGTGATAAAAAATATATGTAATATAGATAAATATACCCTGTTGTCTTTGCTGTATATCTTGGTAGACATTAGCCCTTTAAAGGAGTTAAAACAGTCAAGTTATTTTGAATAATTTAAAGAAAAAGTATTTAAAACGGTCAAAGATTTATAAAACAAAATGGAAGCATTAAAAATCAAGAATTATATAGAGGGAATATTAAAAGTTAACTTCCCTTTTAAAAAGAAAGCAATTTACCCATTTTATAATATCTCCGCTGATATTAGGGCAATAATACTTTTCCATAATTTTGGCTTTTGTTTTTGTTTGGCCACTATGTCCTCCTAAAGGACTGTCATGCTCCAATGTAAAAATTTTTAGTCTTTCCTCCGTGTCCATAATAACATCTGCATAAACAGAATTACCACACACAGTTACTTTTCGCTTGAGCTTACCATCTACAAAAAATTTACAACTTGAAAAACATTATCAGTGAAAGAATGTAAAACAAGAATATTTTTAACCATCATACCTTGTACACAATACTTTTTTGCCACACTTCGAAACGTACGCTTATCATTTTTTCCAAGACCAGGTGGATATATATTTTCGGTCAAATATGTAATAAAATTATAAAAGTATTGTGGTTGTTTTTCTTCCTTTTCCAATACAGGCTGAAAAAAAACTAAAAATATGTATTGTTATATTATATTAAATAACTTTCAAAATTTATATAAATATGCATTTTTTGTTATTCACCTCCTCAAGACCGAGAAGGCCACTACAGACGAGGAGGCTACTTATTAGTGGTTATAACCCTCTCTCGACTCTATAACTCCGAAACACGAACCTTGACAAACAAGGCCGCTGCGAGGAGAAACAAGTTGAGCGCAGTACTACAAGGGACATGGTGGGGATCGAACTCGGAACCTCTCGCTTATGAAGCAAGTGTTTTACCACTACACCACTACCGCATGATATATAATATATAATACCATATAATATATAATAACACTTCCTACATAAAACTTAATAAAATACCAATTCTATATTATATGTATTATTTGAACATCATTAAACTTTTACTAATTTTCATTAGGCATTTAGAAATGTATTGAAATATCAATGTAGAAAACTAGGTATTCAAAATATGAAAATTTTACACAATTTTGCCTTTTGGTTATTAAAATATTTCTAACTATTATTATTTTTCCTAAATGCTATAACTTAAAATCATGATAGCGTTCTTATAAGGGACGCGATAATCTTTTACAGACAACAACATAAATAATGCAATTATTACTTTTTAACTAATTTTACATAATACATAATTATTATTTAAATTGAGATTAACCTGGGCGATTTGTGATGATTCTTTATTGGAACTGTTTTCATTTTCACTAAAATCAGCACTACCATTCAAAAGTTCCTGTGTTAATAAATAATTAAATAATAAGGAAGTGTTATTATATATTAAATAAGCATAACAAAAGAAACAATTAATAAGGTCATAATATCATTATTGCGCTTAAAAAAAAAATCAATCTAAATATGCGAAACCTTGCTTCCTGCAACCAGATTTTTATCTAAAAATAAAAAAAACATACAATTATGGCAATAATATTTGTTACATTTTATTAAAAAAAAAAGCAACAGGCAGTAAGAGGAACCACCGTCAAGTGAATTTTGCATTCCATGGAACAAATTTTGATTAGTGGAATAATTTTCTATAGCCCAATGGGGTTCAACTTATTGAGCACATATTGTACTGTCTAGACACAGCAAACAAATAACCATTACCTGCAGAAAAAGCATCATCTTCATCAGGCAATTTATTCACTAGCTCATTAGTCCTGAAATGAAATCAATCATTCAATCAATATATTTAATTACCAATAGTAAATTACAAAATAAACCATAAAAAATATTGATTGATACCAAATTTAGTCTTAAACTTTATAAAATTACACATTTCACCAGTTAATCTTGAAAATCATAAACAAACCTTTGTGAAGAGTAAGAGCTTAACAATACTTCAGCCTAGTAAAACATAATATATATATATATATATATATATATATATATATATATATATATATATATATATATATATATATATATATATATATATATATATACATATATATATATATATATATATATATATATATATATATATATATATATATATATATATATATATATATATCAGGCTTGGTCGGGAAGCGGGAGCGATCGCTCTTGAATACTGACCACGGAAATTATATTTAGTTGCGTAAAACTGGCCAGGTTTTTTAGTCGTTTTGAGAACATTTAAGTTTATGTACGAAACAAAAAATTTTTGTTTTACGGACATACATGGAAACATAAAAAACTTGAATGTTCTTTGAGCGCAAGAATAAAAAGAATATTTGCGAACACTAAAAACCTGCCAAATTAACGAACAAACTAATTCTATTGGTTCAAAAAATACGCTGATTAAGCGAAATAAAGTTCTAGAGTATTCTGTTGAAATGTTTTAGAATTTGTATTATTCACGATGATACGTTTTGAGATTTTTAGCATAAATTGTTTTAAAAATATTTATTATTTGTTTACAAAAATAAATGTTTTAAATATATATTAATTAAGTTGTCAAAATTTTAAAAGTTTATTATAAATCATAGATTTTATTAGTATATTCTTATTTTTTATTTTAAAAGAGATTGTATTCTTTATGTAAATGTAATTTTGTGTATTTGTTTTTTATCGTAATGTATCTTTTAAAGCAATTTTCATGATTTAAACAAAGACTTACAAAAATAATTGCGTTTTCAATGAAGTTATAACCGTTAAAGGTAATAAAACTAATTATGTAACAACATATAAGAAGTTTCTGGTTACTAAACACAAATAACGCATACAAAGTAACTCGCGTATGAACAAGCATCGCGCCTGAGGTCACGACAGAACACAAATATATATAGCAAATAATAAGATTTAAAGAAAAGTTTCTAGATATAGGTTTACTAACTCTAATTATTTTCGCTTAAATTACCATTCTTAAAACTCGTTATACTTTTTGCTGCTTTAAATACTTATTAAAATTAAAAAGCCCACTCACTAAACATCATCAGCGATATTGTGAAGCAGTTTCGCTTCCTGGTCATTAAGTATTTTTAACCTTTTTAATTGATTTCTATCTTGATGATTTAATTCCTATAGTAATTCAATGATTTAATTATTTCATTTGTTTATCTTACTAAGAAGAATCGCTTTAAATATGTTAAATTTTTCAAACTACGCGAAACATAAAAAAGGTTTTGTCTGACGCCAAAGCTCGCTATTCTCAGGTCATTAAATCTCGTATCTCATCACAAAAATTAGGCTCTCGAGACTTCTGGAGAATCTTTAACAGTATCAATAATAAGGGCAAATCTGTTATTCCTTCTCTCTTGTATGGTTCAGACTTTGTCACCTCACCTAAAGACAAAGCTGAATTGTTTGCTAAGAACTTTTCATCAATATCATCTCTTGATTCCACCAGTTGCGTTTTACCTGACATAGCCGTCAAACAGGTTGATCCCTTGCTTGACATTCGCATCACTTCAGCTTCTGTATCTAAAGTCATTTCCTGCTTAGACTCTTCAACAGCTTGTGGTTCTGACAACATTCCTGTTGTAGTCTTGCAGAGGTGTTCTCCGGAGCTTTCATCCATACTTTCTAAACTATTTAACAAGTGCTTATCAGAGTCTTGTTTTCCATCATGCTGGAAAGTAGCATCTGTTATCCCTATTTTCAAAAATTCCGGAGAGCGATCTGATTCATCTAACTACCGTCCCATTAGTCTCCTTCCTGTCATAAGCAAGGTTTTTGAATCTTTAATCAACAAACACTTAATCTATCATCTTGAATCAAATAACTTACTTTCTGATCATCAATATGGATTTCGGTCTTCTCGTTCTACAGCTGATGTGCTAACAGTAATAACCGATAGGTTTTACCGTGCATTAGATAAAGGTGGAGAGGTTAAGGCTATCGCACTTGACATTTCTAAAGCTTTTGATAAAGTTTGGCATGCTGGTCTTCTCCATAAGCTTTCTTCTTATGGTGTAGCTGGTAACGTCTTTAAGATTATTGAGTCCTTTCTTTCCAATCGTAGTATAAAAGTTGTCCTCGATGGACAACACTCTTCTTCACATCCTGTAACTTCAGGGGTTCCTCAAGGTTCAATCCTTGGCCCTATACTCTTTTTAATTTACATTAACGATCTTCCAGATATTCTCACATCTAAGGTGGCATTATTCGCTGACGACACTACCATTTACTCTTGTCATGATAAGAAGCCTACACTCTCTGATTGCTTGGAGGGGGTATCTGAGCTTGAAAAGGATCTCACTTCTGCTACAGCATGGGGCTCACAGTGGCTGGTGAACTTTAATTCAGATAAAACTCAATTTTATTCGGCCAATCGTTATCGTAATAATTTAGATCTTCCTATATTTATGAATGGTAATGTACTAGATGAGTCATCTACCATTCATCTTCTAGGATTAACTCTTACTTCTGATCTTTCTTTTAAACCATATATCAAATCCATTGCAAAATTAGCATCTGCTAAGGTTGCATCTCTTTATCGAGCTCGACACTTTCTTACTCCAGATTCTATTCTCTATCTCTATAAATCTCAAATCCGTCCCTGTATGGAATACTGTTGCCACATCTGGGGCGGATCTTCTAATGATGCTCTTTCTCTTTTAGACAAGGTGCAAAAACGAATTGTAAACATAGTTGGGACCTGCTCTGGCAGCCAATCTCCAACCTTTGTCACTTCGTCGTAATGTTGCTTCTCTTTCTCTTTTCTACAAATACTATAATGGGCACTGCTCTAAAGAGCTAGCGTCCCTTGTGCCATCTACTAAAATTCATTCTCGTGTTACTCGCCATTCAATTAAGTCTCATCCTTTTTCTGTGACTGTTCCTAAGTGCTTCAAAAACTCTTATTCTTCTAGTTTTTTTCCTCGAACATCAGTTCTTTGGAATTCGCTTCCTTCATCTTGCTTTCCTGATTCATATAATTTGCAATCTTTTAAGGTCATCAGTCAATCGTTATCTTGCTCTACAGATTTAGTCTTTTCTCTTCCAGTAACTTCCAACTCTTATAGTGGTTGCTTGCAGCCTTGTTGGAAGTGAAGATGTTAAAAAAAAAAAAAAAAAAAAAAAAAAGGTATTAAAAAAATTAACTTTTTTATTTATAAAATAAATTAAGCTTAAGTAAAACTAAAACTTGCAAACTTAGTTAAATAAAGAATATTTGTTTCCCTTTTAAACAATCTAAGTTGTTACTTTATATAAAAAACATCGCTTAATTTTATAAAAAAAATTGTAAAAGAGCGATGTTTCGAAAATACTTGTTCTAAATGTAATTTATTTAGCTTTAAGTTTTTTTGCGTTTAAAGATATTTTATTTGCCTATTGTTTTTTTTGTTTATAACTGTCTCTCATCGGTCCAATTATTCTTTGTCGCTTTTTTTTTTTTTTTTGCTTTTTAAAATGTTCTCAAAACGGCTAAAAAATCTGGCCAGCTTTTCGCAACTAAATATTATTTACGTGGTCAGCAATCGAGAGCGATCGCTCCCGCTTCCCGACCAAGCCTGATAATATATATATATATTAAGGAAATATATATATATATATATATATATATATATATATATATATATATATATATATATATATATATATATATCTGACTTTTGCCTAACTATGTGTATAATAAATGATTATTTCTAAAAAATATTTAAAATAAATTATTATCATATTATATTACAATATTATTTAATATGCAATTTAATTAACAATACTTTATTTCTTGAAATTCCTTCCAATTCAGCAAAGAAATACAATATTGCTTCAGGGACCAAGACTTTAAATGTAAAATCACTATGCTGAATGAAAAAACAAAACTTTAAACTTTTCTTTTTTTTAAAATAATTTTTAAACAACTTAAACAACTTTAAACATAAATAATCAATTTTTTATTCCCTTATAAGTTATAACACTTACCTTAAGATTATCTGAGAATTCGCGTAAAGCCAAAAATATATAGTCTTTTTGATCATTTGACAACAAATGCATCAAATCTTGGTCCATAAGGTTCCCTGTTATTTTAAAATTGAGTTGATTTTTTGAATATTTTAAAAAAAAATTAAAAATCGTTTTCTTATGTTTATTACACAATATGGTAATATTTGATAAAGTTTAAAAAAAAAGCACAATATAGTTAACTTAATATTGGTAAATTTTAAAATAAAACTTACTTTTTGATTTTGCACCTGATTTATAAATAATATATCTATAACTGTATAGCTATAAGACAATAAAATAATGGTAGAACTTTGTTTTTAAAAAGTCTGAAAAAACATTACCATAATAATGTATAAAGTTAAAAACAAAAAAAGATTCAAATTTTTGTTTAAGAATTTTGACATAATGTTTAATACTTGTTTGGTTTGAACTCATTTTTTTAACTCATATTTCTTAATTAAAGTTGTAAGAAATTTTTAATAATGACATAAGTTACACATACCTGACCAGCAAAAATTGACTTAAGCAATGCTGATGATGAAATTTTACTAATTGATTGCTTTGTAAATTTTCGAAAAGCTAAATAATAAACACACATTATTATAAATATATATATAAAGAAACACACTTGCACACACAAACATATATATATATATATATAAATATATATATATATATATATACATATATATATACATATATATATATCTATATATATATATATATATATATATATATATATATATATGTATATATATATATATATATATATATATATATATATATATATATATATATATATATATATATATATATATATATATATATATATATATTATATATATATATATATATATATATATATATATATATATATATATATATATATATATATATATATATATATATATATATATATATATATATATATATATATATATATATATATATATATATATATATATATATATATATTATATATATATATATATATATATATATATATATATATATATATATATATATATATATATATATATATATATATATATATATATATATATATATATATATATATATATATATATATATATATATATATATATATATATATATATATATATATATATATATATATATATATATATATATATATATATATATATATATATATATATATATATATATATATATATATATATATATATATATATATATAGATATATATATATATATATATATATATATATATATATATATATATATATATATATATATATATATATATATATATATATATATATATATATATATATATATATATATATATATATATATATATATATATATATATATAATATATATATATATATATATATATATATATATATATATATATATATATATATATATATATATATATATATATATATATATATATATATATATATATATATTATATATATATATATATATATATATATATATATATATATATATATATATATATATATATATATATATATATATATATATATATATATATATATATATATATATATATATATATATATATATATATATATATATATATATATATATATATATATATATATATATATATATATATATATATATATATATATATATATATATATATATATATATATATATATATATATATATATATATATATATATATATATATATATATATATATATATATATATATATATATATATATATATATATATATATATAATACAGGCTTCGGCAGGAATGACGGGCTATAGCCCGTGTCCGTCTCAGCACCCGTCTAAGTCAGTTTAGACGGGCGAAATAAAGCCAGTCTGAAACATAAGTTTTGTGTAAAAAAAAAAGATGAATATTTTGATGTTTTTTTATTAAGATACTCTTTTAAAACTTCTCTCATGACATAATTTTAATATGGATAGCAAACTCCAACTTATAATTGTTTATATTTAAATATAAAAATTAAACAATTTAATCATTATTGTATAACATGATGTAGAAAATAATATAACTAAATCTTACAGTTTTTTAAACGACGATAACTGTTTGATATAATACCAAACAGTTACCATATTATGTTCAAAATTTAATAACTATTATATTAAATAGGGAAATATACACATGTGATGCACAAGAAGTATCATGTTGTTTTGGTTTTTCAATGTTTATAATAATAACGATAATAAACTAATTATCCATGTATTTCGATTTTTTCCGATAAACTAGTTTGTCTTACTTTAAAGACATTTAAAGTGATATTTCCGCGTTAACTTCACGTTTTTTCTGAAAGAGACGGCGGTTTATTTAATATGCAATTATATAACTCGTTATTGAAAATGAAATATCTCATTAAAAATCAACAAACGTCTAATCCATTTTTGTAGATAATATAAATAGCGATGCTTTATAGTCATGAAGTTATTCAAGTTATCCAGTCATTCAAGTTTTTCAAGTTATTCAAGTTTTTCAGTAAAGATAGTAATGGCATCATCTGGTAGAAGAGTTACATTAGCAACATTTTTGAGTTGGGGTAAAGATGGAGTCTGTGGAAAAGAAACTGAGGTGGAGAATGGAACAATTTTTGTTGTGAAGATATGGTGTATGGTTTGTATAAAATATAAAAAAGAATTGCTTCGCGAGTTAAAAGGTCTGGCAAAATCAAAAGCATTAGCATTTATAGAGAGCACTACGAACGTTAAAGCTAGCAACATACATACGCTTATATACATGCTTATATTGTATATAAAGTAACGGAAGCCCCGGTATCTTAAGAAATTATTAGTACTTCTAAATAAAAACTTATTTTATTAAAAGAAATTAGATTTCAAATTTTTTATTCACGTATCAGAATAAATATTTCCGATCAGGATAGGCATAGGTAAAGCAAAGTTATAAAAATATAAATAACAGTTAAAGTTTTTAATTTGCACGACCAATAGAATGCAAGAGTATATAAATAATTCAATTTGAAAAATAACATAGTTACGTATCATATTACCAAGCTAATACCAAACAATTCTAAAACTACCAAGCTCATTGATTCAAGGTTTAAAAAAAAAAAGGTTTCAAACTATTTGCTGAATAATTAAAAAAATTAGATTTTGAAAATATTATGTAATATTCTTATTCACAAAGAATAAGAGAAACGAATGAACTAAAAAAGCACGATAAAAACCTGTATAATTTAATCGAGTACTTGAATAAAACAATAATATATAAATATACTCAAAAAGACTTCGGTAAAAAAACACGTTAGGATGCTTGAATAAAGAAACGTGATGAAACGCCATGGTTGTTTCGAGGATTTTTCATGTCGTTTTCACGTTCATTCGTTTGACTATATCTGCCAGATATTATCTGGAATAAAGATTTTAAAAAAAAAAACATAAAAAACTGAATAAAGTTTCTTCGAGTAAGAAATCTAAACAAAAGCAACCATAAAACAACTAACCCACGTGAAACGAAATTAGATCTGTGCAAGTGAAAACTTTGAAAAACAATTATTGAAATCTTAGTTTTAAGTATTATCCAACTCATTTACTGCAGTGTTTTAATTACTTAAGTAATTAAGCATTTTAAACAGTTAATCGCTTTCTAACATATTATTTTAGTGCAATTCACAAAATGTTTAATATTCAATGACATTTTTATTCAAAAAGAAGAAGAGAAATTAACAAATTTAAAAAAAATAAAGTTCAAACTTTAGAATTTTTTTTAAAGTTTAAAAAAGCCCGTGCAAGACCATCTAGACGGGCGGCCCTCATAGCCCGCCAAGTCTATTTAAGACGGGCTTTTCATAGCCCGTACGGTTTTTATTCCTGCCGAAGCCTGTATATAAATATATATATATATATATATATATATATATATATATATATATATATATATATATATATATATATATATATATATATATATATGTATATATATATATATATATATATATATATATATATATATATATATATATATATATATATATATATATATATATATATATATATATATACATATATATATCGTCAGCTGAGAACCAAGAGGACGTATGTCCACTTTTTGTGATTCTGAGTAATCCGAAATTCAAATTTTGGGGCACAAATACCGACTGTTGCACTTTATGTAAACTATTCCTATTTTTAGATCTAATAGTAAATTAAGTCTAATTTTCTATAGAAGTGATAAAATCTTGTTTGAAAGGGTCGTTTAACAATAAAAACGTTGCAAACTGAACCTGGTTATGGACATGCAGCCTGTTGGTTTTCATTTTTGTTAAGTTTATAAAATTTAAATGCTTTTTTTTTTTTTTTCCGAAAGCGCTTTATTTGATGACATTAAATGTGAAATATAAAAAAAATGTTTTTAATTTTCGGTGGGACTTTTGCTGGTTCTATTTTTAACCTCTTTACTGGTTCGTACCTTACTTTACTACTTCGCACCTTACTTTACTAGCTTTGTTAGTTAACCTCTTTGTTAGCCCTTTAAAGTATTTATAAAACTATAATGTAGTTTTAGAGATCATAAAACCAAATAATACTGCAAACATATTTTATTTTGCTAATGAGGGTCAGTTACATTGGCACAAACATAAATGATTAATAGTACAATCAAAGTTACATAATTTTAAGTTTTAAATTTAAAAAAAAAAAATTTGTTTAAATGTTTTAAGGTGGTAGCAATAGTTACTATGAATTAAAGACTGATTCAAACAATCTGTTACAGTTAAAAATTAAGTACAACGACCTGCAAATTAAAATTTATACAATATGATCAAAATTAAAAAGATAATAAAAAGTTCATAAAATAAAAAAGTTAATAGAGATGCAAATTGCAGCAGAGAACATTGGCCAATAGTTAAAGTAAAACACTAGTTAAATGATTGCAATACTAATGTCATATATTCATTGTCTTGAAGAGGCATGAACTTTATCATCGATTTTAGATCTTCTACCTTTTCCTTCGATATAATTTTTTTTTTGGAAGCACCTTTGCTTGCAAAAATGTTTCATGATTTCTTATTATTTTGTTACCTGAACTTTGGTTTCGTGTTTTAAAGTTGACAATATTTTCCACCTTATATTCACAATCAAACGTATTCTTGTATTCCACACTCAATGGCTTATCTGCTGAGTATTTAAGTACCTTTACTTTAGCATATGGAATATTTTTAAGCAACAAATAATTCTTTGCAACAGATTGAAAGTCCCTCATCTGCTTTTCTTTAATTTGAATCAACATGATTGGATTCTTTCGAGGAATGTATTTTAGTATTCTGACAAGGCCAATCGGACTGTACACTTCAGCTACTTCCATATTTCTTTTAATAATACTATGCAAACTGTCTATTTCCTGTATCACACTATGTCCTGGCTCACAAAATTTCTGAATGACTGTTTTAATTTGTGGATGATTTTGTGAGAAAATTTTTAAAGCAATCGTCATAAAACTATTTCGGTTCTGTGGTACACAAGAGTTGCTCCATAAGCAAATTTAAGTAACAAGAGGTTCATCCGCAACTATTTGATCTAGTATAACAAGAAGAGCACTAGCTATATCATTTCCTGAACGGCCACTTGTAAGCTCTGACCAGAGTGCACTGTAACTTTTTTTGGATATTGAGCACTGTGCAGTCAAATGAAAAGCAGTCAACTTTCGTTTGTAAAAAAAGTTAGAAACATTTGCTGTTGGTAGGCTGAACACTTTTTCCATATCGAAGCAAATTTTATACTACATTTGCTTTTATCAAGTCGATCACGATTACGTTCTTCATTAGTCTCAACTTTGTTTTTTGTGTGGATTTCATGTAATGCTGTTTCATTTAAGTTAGGTGAAGGATTCATTTTCATACTTTCACATTTGTCACATCTATCTTTTTTTAATGTATGAACTTCAATATTAAACTCTGTGTTAAATATTATTCTATACATACTTTTTTTTGCAGGAACAACATTGTCTAAAACACATTTTTTACAATATTTCTCATACAAAATGGTCATACTCAGATTTTCTTGAATGTACTCTTTGTTTGTACTTTTGCGACAGTAGTGACTGTCAATTCTGGGAAAGCTTTGAATATGTTTACGTACAGAATCTTTAATATTATTTGGGACAGTTCGACTAGGTACTTTACCTTGTTTATACTGTTGAGGTGTTCCTGTTGTTTTACTTTTTGTTGAGTGGTGATTTCAAATTCTTTTTTCATCAATATCTAGAGTACATAGATAAAACTCTTTGCAAACACTTCGTCAGAAATAATAAAGTAATAACCTTTTTTTTTCAATTTTGGATTTTCAGCCAAACGACATCTTTTTTTGTTTTCTAAGATTGTAGTTTCGGAGTAGAAAAGACGCTTTTCTTGATCATTCAAAATCCAGTGTTGTTTGTGCAAAGTTTCTTGATCAGTAACACTAATTTTTATTTTACATTTGAAACGACACACTGTGTGATCTCTCTTACAATTTTTAATAAATTTCCCCCTTTGTATTTTATTGTTTGAGTCTACGTATTGCTGACCACTCTATCTAAGTGTCTTTCTTATTGCGTGTAAGATTCTTTCCAGTTCTTATGTGCTTTCTGACACTTTCTCTGGAATTTTCCTTTGAAGTGGTATGAACAAGTAAATCATCATTTTTATCAGAATTTTGTGATTGAATCCCAGAGAGAGGTTCAGAGGAGTTGATCTGAATAGTAGGTTTTAATTGAATGTCTGCAACATCTTGTTCCTTAGAGTTTCTAAATTAATATTATAAAAAGTAATATATATATATATATATATATATATATATATATATATATATATATATATATATATATATATATATATATATATATATATATTTATTTATTTATATATATATATATATATATATATATATATATATATATATATATATATATATATATATATATATATATATATATATATATATATATATATATATAGTTTACATATTTACAATGGAGGAAATATTGGTTAATTGTGTTTTATGTAAAAAATTGACCGATAATGATAAATATCATTTTGGATGTTATACATTATGGGAAAATGATCTTCTCAAAATTTGCAACACATGTGCAGGTATACAATTTTTTATGTAATTTTTAATTTGTCTTAGAATAATTATATATAAATCAAATAAAACAGATATTCTTTCATTTAATAGATTCTATAGCTTGAGTCTTCTGCGGCTGAAAATTCAGCCTCTCTAAGAGTCCAAAAATTGCTTCTGCGGCTGAAAATTGACGCATGCGCAAACTTGATCGGGTTTATTTGTTTTTGTTTGAAATTATGAAACTATTCAATCATTGAAACTTAGAAATCAGTGGTGATAATTACATAATAGTTAAAATTAGTTAATATTATATGAAATATGTAGTCAAAACAATTCAGTGAGTACAATAGAGCTTTATATTGCAAAAGTTTTTATCTTCAACTCAACAAGTTTTGTTGTTAACTGTTAAAACTTGTTACAAATATTATTAGCGAAATCAGTTTTGGTATTATTAAGCGTTTTTTAATCTTAATTTCCTGACATATTATTCTTAGAATATATCTTTTTTTAGTAAAAATTATTAAGGTCAGTGCTATAACGATTAAAGTTTTTAAATGATAATTTATCAAAGTGTTATTGTCATTACAACTCCCTGATTTAATGACAACCTCGATCAGCAATTATTCAGTAATTAGCGTCTTTTTTAACAGAAGCAACAAATATATTTTAAAGTAAATTTTTTACACTGGTTTTTGTTACAAAGTTACAATTCCGCAACTTAATTGGTCCAATTATTTTGCTGAATTAATTCAGCAAAATAGTTGGACCTTATAAGTTGCTGAACTGTAACTTTGTTACTATAACCCCTCATTTAATAACAGTAACCCCTCATTCAAATGTTTTAAGCAAACAATTGAAAAGTTACAATTAGTTGTAACTTTGCAACTTTACTATTAAATATTATACTGAGAAGATTTAAAGTAGATGACTCAGTATTAGACTTTAAATTTTCTCAGTATAACATTTAAATTCACCATTTAATATCAACAACATTGTGATAATTATTAGCAGTAATAAGTTGAGTTTTGTTCCGAATAGAATTCATTACCCATTTCAAACTCCAAGTTGTTAGAGAAGAGAGGCTGCTTTTTCTAAGCTCTCACAAGGTAAAAAGTTTTTGTCAAGACTGAAACATATATTGGTATCATTAGGCTTATAAAGAAGTCCAGCATGCCAGCTTTTACCAAAAGCTTTTGATATGTGAAAAGAAATAACCCTAGCCCCACCACTACAATCTAATGCCTAATTTTTTTTTAAAAAGACTAATTTTTTAAAGATTTGAATCACTAATGTTATAGTTTATATGTGTATGGCAAATTTCATCAGATCTTATATCAGTATAAAGTCATCAGTGCACTGATGACTTTATACTGATATAAAATCTGATGAAATTGCATCGTTATTTGGATTTATTACAATGAATTGATATAGTTTTGATATGTCACCGAAATCAAAAAAATTCCTTTTAGCAAAATATTTACGTTTTAGGGGCCAAAAGAGTCAAATTCCTAATTTTTTTTCCGAAAATCTTGGAAGTTTTTTTTTTTTTTTAATTTATATAACAAATATATCAGTTCAAAAAATATATTGTTCAAAAATTATAGCCATAAGGTGTGAAAATGAAATATATTGTTTGGATATGACTGTTTTGAATATGTCATTTGTAAAATACAAACCCATGTACATTACATATATATATAAACACATAAACTAATGTTTTATATTATTAAAATTCTGTTTATTAATAAACTTAACATACTTTTGTGACATTAGCATAAAAAAATATATAATTAATTAAAGTTAAAACATAAATATATTTTCAGGAGCATTTGTAATATTTACAAGGTTTTTTTCCGTTAAAACTGATAACAGCATTTTTTTAATGTTCAGAAAAGGAGCTGTTACTTTTAAAAACTTAGAATCTATTCCAAGATTCATTAACGAAGTTGTAATGAACTGTTTCAACAGCTTTTTCAGAGTAGCAGCCTAATCCACGCCCTCTTACTGCACAAAAAGCAATTATATGTTTTAAAATATGATTTTTCAATGAAACATTTATATTCCATAATCTTCAACCAGTGTTCTGTAGTGTTTTTCAAAGTTTTTAATATGTATTTAAAAATAATGATGTAGTTTCTGCCACAAAAAAAAAGAATCAACCAAATTGTTTAAAGTTCTAAGCCCTTTTGCCAATAGTTTTAAGTTAATTAACAATGCAGGCATGTACTTGTCATAATCTTTAAGGATTTTACAGGAGGCTTTGCCATTAAAGGAATTATTCTGGACCTCTTTCGAAATGTTTAAAATCATCGACACTTTAGCAACTTCGTTTTTACCACCACATTTCTCTATATGATTATAAATATGATTAACAGCTCCCTCCATTAGGTGTAACTCTGGTGGGAAAAGATAATCTGCCACTAAGTGGTCGCTGGTTTTTGCGTGTATCAATAGAGGATTAATAACATTGCAAAAATCTTTAGCATTTTGTTTTATTGCACCTGATTAAGAAAATTTTGTATAATGTTCTTCTAAAGAACCAAAAGTTCTAAGTTTTTCTTTAAATGGTTATATTCATTTTCATTCGCATAAATGGCCAGGTTGTGTAGCCATAGCACTTGGAGATAAACCACACATTATTTGACAAAGCTTAAGTTCAGCTACAAATGAGGTTTTTTTTTAACCTAAATTGAGACAGTTCATTAATATAGAAACATTGTAGTGACTTGCAAGAACATTTGGAACTAAAGCTAGTAAAAAAGTAGCTTTTACAGAGCCTTCTTTATATTTAGAATTCTGAGGTTCTTTATATGTATTCATTGTAGATTTGTCTTCATGATTGTTTTTCTTAAGTTCTAAACCTTTGCTCTCACAATCTGACAGTAGGTTTAAACAGATGTAAAATAAATTTTTTTTCATTTTTACAAAATGTTGTACCATTTTGTTTTGTTTTGACTGAATCATAATTCTCATAAACATATTTAGAATTAAATTATTTACCTTCAGAAAGCCTCTTTCTCTTTAAGAACAACCATTACACTGTTAAATCTGTCATTTCTGGTACTTTTGGAAACATCAAAGTTAAATTGTGTCACAGACCCAGTAGAAGAACTAACCGCCATATTTGCAGATGCATCACTGGAGAAATATTGCGATGTCTCTCTTCTCCATCTATGTAAAAAGTTTTTAAAAATAATGCAAGCTTACATAACAAAATTGAACAAAAACCCTACTCACAATACTGATAATTTTATAACTAAAGCCCTTAAAAAAAATTTTACTATGTAAGAATGTTTTTTTTATTATGATTATTATTTAAACTATTTAATTTGTCATTGTGTACAAGTTAAACAGTATAATTTAACTATATTAGTTATTTCAGTGCTTTGCAGTTTTTCTCCTCAATACTTTACAACGCAATTTACTATGTACATGACAGTATATTCAAGATTACAAGTTTAGTTCGTATAAAATGCTAAGTGACAAAATTAGTATAAATGCTACAAAAAGAACACACCTCGAAGAAACTGAAAGCGGTTGAAAGAGCGGTTCGTTAGTAAACATCCAAACAGCAATAAGATGACGACACGGAATTCCCATTTGAGTTGGCATTCCACAAGAACAGTTAAAGCCTTCCACACATTGAAAAGTGCTTATGTCATTATAACTTACTTTCCAATGGTTTTCAAATTTAATAATTGAATACTTTTTTGATCCTACAACTTGTATTTGTTTTGCAATTATTCCTGCAGCATAGTCTGTAAAATGTTTGTAATACTCAACAACATTTGGTTGGGGTATAATTGAAGTTTTCATATTCATATCAAACTGACGGTGATGAATTTCATATGATCGAACATCCATTATGGTCAGGAGATTCTTTATTAAACCATCTAATGACAGCTGTGCAGAGCCTAATACTCGTTTCAGTGTATGATGAAATCTTTCAATTCTATTGTTAGTCCAATTCTGAAGGTTCATTATTTTGGAGTTGCTAAATGAAGTTATGTTATTTTTAAAGGGAACCCAGTTTTCTAAGATGTAATTGTAAAATTTTAATGACATATTTTGGATTTTAAGTAGTTCATTATCAAAGTTGTTACACGATTTAGACGTTAATAAAGTTTCAAATTGTTTAATACAAGACTTTTTTTCGAGTTCTCCGTTAAGACTTGAAAGATACTTATCGGCAGCCTTTAAGACATGAAAATAGCAAATGTTAATATGAACATTCGGAAAAACTTTTTTGATGGCATTAATTTCAGCTAAATCCTTATCAACAACAAAACAATTAACACCTGTTGTATTGTTAAGCTCAGAAAATAACTCGAGAAATTTTTCTAAATGAGCTTGGTCTTCTTAAGACAAGACAGCAAATCCAACAGGTTGTCCCAATCCATTGCTATCTTCTATTAGTAACGTATACAATGGATAACGCATTTTATTGGTTTTATATGTTGCATCCATTTGTATAACTTCTTTATATTTCGAAAAGTTAATTTGCTGCTGGACAGTCTGAAAAAATAAAGCCTCTAAATTGTTCTCAGCGTCTGTTATGATGCGATAAATAACCCCGGGTTGTGCAAGGACACTCCGAATTGTTTCATTAACAGAGCCTAGATTTTTTAACAGTTTTTGTTTTCTGTTATATAAATCTTTTATTCGTACATGCGATCCTTGTCTATGTAAAACATCCGCTACAAGCGTTGGATTAGCATGCATAACAAGCATACTGTCAATTTCTCCCTGCCGTTCTGGATTTGGCTTTCTAATATCATGATAGAGAGAATATATATTAGAACCAATTTGGTGATTTTTATGCTCTAAATCGGCCTTGGTAACCAGGAATTTATTGAGAAGACGATTATAAGTGACCGTAATTTTAAATTGACAATCCTTTGCAAAGACATGCTGAATTTTTCTTTTGTCGTTTCCTCGGCTTTTAAAATCCCCAAAATGTTTACATTCCCAATTTAGTTGCCAGTATTTTATATCAGGTGGAAGTTGACTGTTGATACCAACCTAT